CAGAGTGTTTTCGTGTCAGTCCTGTGGACAGTCCTGACGATTTAGAAAGAGTTGGATGATGTATCCAGTCAACATCATCGTGTTTGGAGTGATCACTAGTGGTGGCAACGTTATGCCTCCATTCGTCTTCCTACAGAGCCTCAAGCTCAACATGGAGTCCTATACCATGTACCTTGCAGAGGTAGCGCGGACCTCGGTCAAGAGGGTGCCTGCTGGAAGGACCCTATGTCTCGTAACAGGACTGTGCACTATGCCACACAAGCAGGAGAACTCAGTCATGGCTGTCAGACAATTGTCAGACAATTTCTGCGACCATGTCACCCCTTACGTCTGGTCACCTAACTCCCCAGACTGCAACCCCTTCATGTAAGAAATGCAGGAGATTCCGAAGGTCGTCTGTAGGTTCTGGTTTGAACCAGTGATGTCTTTATTTAACAAATTTACTCTTTAGTATTTCAAGATATATTTGTAAAATTTTGGTAAATATATCTGTTAAAATGAGACGTCAGTGTTATTTTAATTTTTGCGTGACTTAGACGATAATTTATCCATCGAACCCTATATATATATCTATATATATATAATATATATAATATAATATATATATTTTTATATATATATTATATATATATATAACATATATATAATAATATATATATATATATATATATAATATTATATATATATATATTATATATAATATAATAATATAATATATATATAATATATATATATATATATATATATATATATATATATATATATAATTCGTTGAAGATACACTCGCCCTTTGGGAAAATGTATCTCCAACGAATTAAATAATATTTATGTTGGTCACACTAAAAACTCGCTTTCACGACGCTTGACAATACATTTGAATGAAAACATTTTTAGGCATTTAAAAGAACATGCCTGCCAGCACTCACAATTTCGCAAAATACTTGTCGAAAACACAATTATACTTCGACATGAAAACAATAGACAAAAACTAAAAATCTTTAAAGCATTATATATCAAACAGTTGAAACCCAACCTAAACAAAATCAATTATGGCATCTCTACAAATATTCTTAAATATCTATAATTGGTAACAGAAGCCATTGGTTTATACCAACGGCTTTCCATACTTCATACTTCTCCAATTCATTCTCGTGTGGTCATGTGTGACGTCATATATATATATATATATATATACAATTAATTAAAAAACATAATATATATATATATATATATATATATATATATATATATATATATATATATATATATATGACTTTAAACAAATTTTCATTATAATTTCAATTTTCATATAGACAACAATGTTTTATCTATATGAAAAAATTATAATAAATAATCATTGCTCTACTACCGGTAATGAGCCCTCTTTTGAATTAATGCTGTGAACATTAGAATTTATATATTACTTTCGTTCTCATTACATTCGTATATATATATATATATATATATATATATATAGCTGACAGTATAATAAATGAGCTCATGTGGCATCATTTGTCGTGTCGTATTTTTTTCACACCTACTGTACTTTCCTGTTATATTTTCATGAATACCATGTACTTTCATGTACTTTCAGGACATGAAAGATGACGGCTCTTCGCATATTCTTTTTTGTTGTCTATGGATTTAAAATCAGAATTTTCCGATCCTAGATTTTTTGACCCATGTCTAGGAGATTAAATGGATTCATGTATCGGCCATGAGCATCAGTGAGAAATGACTTGGCCAGAATTTAGACACCACTCACCCATTCCCCTTTCATGTGCTAATAAGACCGTTACGCTATCCATATATTATGTAGCTTCTCTTTCGCTCTCGCTCTCTCCATCTCCATCTCTCTCTCTCTCTCTCTCTCTCTATATATATATATATATATATATATATATATATATATATATACAATTATTTATCTAAAATTATAAGATAAATATGTTATAAAATTACTACAAAAATAGCCATTTTGTTTCAACACCTCCGGTATCTTATCAAGTGATGATCTTGAATATAAAATAAATGGTTTTAAAAGTTTCAAATTAATAAACCTAGTCCAAGGGTGTTATTTTATGGAGTGGTTGGTTCTTTTCAAGATAGTCTTACTGATTCTACCGATTTCTGGTCTAGTGGGGTTTATAAGCCTAGTAGATGGCTTAGTTCTGAATTCGGGTTTATGGTCTTTTAACAAGACATGCTTCCTTAGTTTGTAGTTTACTGACCCGATCACTAATCTGTAGTTTATCAGTAATTGATTTACTGATACAGTTAATCCTATCTATCTGGTTAAAATTATTGGTGTCAATTTATTTGTAGCTTTTGGTCGGACTATTTTTCAGTAAGGTATCATAATCCTTAGGGGATAACTTATAAAAGTTAGCCGTTTTGTCGGATTTAACACAAATGTCACCGGATTTATTAATATCCTTGACAATAACATCAAGATTTTTTTGGAAAGAGTTTTTATATTTATTTATTTATTTTATATACTTTTTATATTTATTTATTTATTTTATATACTTGGTTATTTATTATATATATATATATATATATATATATATATATAATTCAGTTGTTTAAATTTTTTTAATGGATGCTCACATTTGAGTAGATGTTCTGTTTTTATTCATTTATTAAACAGTGTATTTATTTTATTTATTTACATCTACCGGCTTAAATATTCGAAAATGCTTGTTAGAAAAATATGCGCCCTCCGGCAAAATTCAAACCTGCGTCCCCTAGAGGAAACCGTTATTAGATATGATGAGCCTTAGTCCACACGCCTACGTAGGAACTCTTGATCAATCACGTCCCGAATAGTGATTTTGAACATATATGTTCCTTATTCTCGAAATATATATATATATCTGCACTGTTTCGCATCCTAACGTAAACAAAGACAATTTTTTTTAGGAAATTGGATAAATCCGACATGTTTTTAATTTATTTGTTTTAAGGTTGTTATTTTTTTTTTTTTAATATTTACTCAGATTTCAGCAGATGCTCTGTTTTTTACTTATTTATGAAACAGTATATTTATTTATTTACATCTACTGACCTGGATATCCGAGAGATGTAAAAAAAAATATACTGCATAATACATGAATAAAAACAGACCATCTAATTAGATATAAGTGTCCATTTAGAAAAAAATAATATACATACAAATATATATATATATATATATATATATATATATATATATATATATATATAGATAGATAGATAGATAGATAGATAGATAGATAATATTAGTGGTAAAATATACACATACCTATGCAAAATATATAAATATATCTACATAGGTGCATCCACATAAATGTATATTTTTTGAATAAAAATTTCAAGAGGATAGAATCCAGGTAGAACTCAATGTCCAGGACAGAGTAAGGATATAATAAAAAGCCTTAAACACTAATATTCCATGGTTTATAATTTATTCCATTGGAATCGTAAATACAATCCAATTCATCAGACCTACAAATTCAAAAAGAAAACAGAAAAAACAACTCCGGAAAATAAAAACAGAATTTAGAGAGAGTGTAAGTATGAGAGTATGGGACGAATGTTAGAGCTAAAGAGAGGGGTAACAGACGAGAGAAGGTGGGAGATTAAACCTTAACAGAGAGAATTTTAGGTTAGGTGAGTGGAAGGGGTTTAAGTAAGAGAACTATGAATGTTGTCGGATGTCTAATACATAAAGATACATTTCGTGGTGACATACACACACCATAGACGTCTAATGTTAAAGATCAGAATAAGAGGGAGGGAGAGGAAAGGAAAGAAGAGGTGGGGGAGAGAGATGGGGCGAAGGAAAGTAAAATTGAAGGACATTTACTGAAAGGGCCGCTGTGTAATTGAGAAAATATATATATATATATATATATATATATATATATAATGGAAGCATAATAATAAAAAAGAAAAAGCCAACTCTTAACAATATTAACTACGAACAAAGCCACAATGTGCTAACCGTATTCGGAAATTAAAAACATCCCTACCACACACTGAGACATACACAGAACGCACACAATTAAGCTGAAAATCGAATCATCCTTGATAATGGCTAAAAGTATAGCCGAAAGCGCTCGGAAATATAAAACATTTGGACAGTTCTTACACACCCTTTGTCTAGAAAAGAAAGCTCTTGTCAGAACACAAGAAAAATTAAATAAAAGCTTAACCGTAGTACCTTGTCTGTCGTTTTTAATGAAATGCATATATATATATATATATATATATATATATATATATATATATATATATATATATATAATTGTATAATAATTGTATCTTTATTTATTTTTACGGAATGGTCCGCGCTTCTATTTGCGCCGATGCCAAAAATTAGGCCGATAATGGTCAGCATTAATCTATCAGAATGAATAGCATGCGGTGTCTTTTGCCGGTAAAAGACAATCGATTAAAGAAAAGGAAGCGACAGTTGGCAAAATTGCAAAGAATAATAGCACTGCTGGCAAAGAATTCCTTCTTAAATTCTTTTTGTCGTATGTAATTTGATGCCAAAGTTCCATTTCAACGGAAGACGGCTGGTGTCGGATGCCGAAAACCATTTGTGGTCAAAGATTTTCCAGTAATTAAATTTGTCCCTTACTGCATCACAGATGAAATAAGCCTGACTTATGTCTCGTTGAATCATTCTTGCTGAATATTTGTTTGTCGTAATGGCGCTGTGTCGTACGACGTTTGGATGAGAGAAAACATATTTGATGAAGCGTGGGGAATTTTTGATTCACTGATAAGTTAGGCTGAAATGTAAAGTTCGATTACAGCTGAACAAATAAAATAACGTTGACGGGCTTGTAACGCTACGTTAACGGAAAAAAAAACAAATTCTAGGAAGACATAAGAACTTCAATTCATCATCTAAACTAGTGATTCTCAAATTTTTAAAAATATAAAAATAAATGTTATACCGTCTATGCATATTGTTAAGTGAAGATAAAATATTATGATATTATTTGGGCCTATGGCCATATCACGCTGGAACACCGGTTCCCGTACGATTACTGAAATTAAGCAAAGTCGAAGCTGGCCAGTACCTAGGTGGGTGACCGATTGGGAATTCCAGTTGTATGTTTGGATGTTTCGGATGGTGTAATGGATAACGACTTGGAATTGGAAAATACCCTTGCAAAAGGTATGAATCCACCTCTTCTCTCCCCAGCTATAGGTTAATTAGTAGATCCTGTACCATCAAATTATTATTATCTAAAAAAAAAAATTATAATCTAAAATATTTTCTGGCATTTCTGCAAAGTGTTAATAAGCCGTAAAAGACAAATCAATCAATTTGATGTTATTTGACTTGAGCTAAATTGTTCTACAGCTAATGTGAAAACGCTGAGGATGGGTGGTCAGTTTGAAATAAGGAAAATATGACGACATATAAAGCGCGCTTTTTTTACTAAAAATATCTTTTAAAATCCCCCTGCATCTTATGTGTCATATGAAGGTTTACTAATTTTACTAACTACTAAATTATTTGATTTGTCCTGCTGAATTTGGGGAGCGGCTTATACACTCGTGCGTCTTATACGACGTCAAATACGGTAGTTGATTGCATCGTTTCAGTAGCATTGCCACATATGCTCCAACCAAAACGCAACGAATCTTCAACGTTGCAAGAACGATACGGGTTAAGTGGGGAAACAAAATGAGAGACGCCATAGACTAGTCTTCTTAACACAGATAAAATCGCTTGTTTAGTTAAAGATAGGCTTTCCTTATTTTGTTTCTTCGCATTCATGTTTACGGACGTAATAGTCTAAATTAAATGAACTTATTGTTTCCTTGTTTAAACATTCCATGTCTTCATGTTTTAATCAAGTAGTGTAAATCACAATTAAAATGATATCTGACGAGATTTAAATACTCACGCGTTGTAACCTGTGAGCTCGCAGACTTGAATATATATATATATATATATATATATATATATATATATATATATATATATAATAAAAGGCTTAAACACTAATATTCCATGGTCATAATTTATTCCATTGGAATCGTAAATACGATCCAATTCATCAGACCTACAAATTCAAAAAGAAAACAGAAAAAAACAACTCCTGGAATGAAAAATAAAATTTAGTGAGAGTGTAAGTTAGAGAGTGTGGGACGAATGTTAGAGCTATAGAGAGGGGTAAAAGACGGGAGAAGGTGGGAGATTAAAATTTAACAGAGAGAAGTTTTAAAGAGGGGAGTCAAAGACGGTTGAAGTGAGAGAAATATGTCTAATACATTGATGTAACCGGAAGGCTATATTTTGTGGTGACATACACACACAATAGACGATCTAATCTTAAAGATCAGAAGAAGAGGGAGGGAGAGGAAAAGAAAAGAAAAGAAAAAAGGGTGGGGGAGAGAGATGGGGAGGGGGAACTAAAACTGAAAGGCATTTATAAAAGAAAAGAAAATTTGATAAAAGAAAATCGACTATATATATATATATCGACTATATATATATATATATATATATATATATATATATATATATATATATATATATATATATATTTATATATATATATATATATATATATATATATATATAATGGACTCTCCTGTGTAAGAGGATCTGACAGCTTAGTTGATTCAGTTATGAAATTTTGTGCGATAATCTTAAGTGGCTTTTAAGACCCGATAGTGATTTACAAACGAGGCCACATATGGAGCAAGAGTGAGGATTGTGAGATGAGATCACTGCTAGATTGACTGGCCTTTTAGATCTTGCTCCCTTCTTAAAGATGATTCAAACAAGCAGATTGAAAACTGCTAAGTCCACTAAAACATGTTGATCTCCATTCTACCCTCTCCAAAGCGCTCAAGGGTGTTATGTGATATATTGACAGCTGACAATATACCACCAAAAACCCACACAAGTGATTTGATTAAAGTGGTGAAGCCTTGTGAAGAACCATCCACACTTTTCGGAACTATTGATACACTAAGTTGGTGCAAATAAATGCCATAGACGAAGCAGACACTATACCTCAGGCTTTTGGTGTAAGAGTTTTCCATCTCCTAGACCAATCGTGTTCTATAATATATACTCGTATCAGAGACAATCGTCTGCCAAGGCCGCTAACGAATCATCTGTTGCAGGCGCATTATCAGGTGCATTTTTGTTTATTCCACACCCAAAAGGCCTACCTGTCGTTTATACTGGAACTACGATAGACGGAACTTAATTATGGACGATAGTACATAATCTGGCGGGAACAACATTTGAAACAAGACCAGCACGGTGAAACGCTCGGTCACGATGACTTGTGCTAATACAACCATCGACGGTCAGTTTTGTCGACACAATTTCCCACGAAAGGATTGGTCAACCAGTGCTATGGCTTTCACACATTTCGAAAGGTGCCGCTCACTGGGATAACGAGTTTTAACCTGTCATAACGCATAGAACAGTGAAGCCCTTATAATAAATACATCATGAGAGCAATCGCCTTAGATATCGCGAAGAGTTTTGACAGTCTCTGGTGTAAGAGGCAGCTAAACAAACTCCCCAGATATGGCATTACTTAATTATCAAGTCCTCTCTATCGGTTAGTTCTGGAAAGTTCACAGACAAATTTCAAATTCCTCTGAGCAATGATAGTCATTTTTCTCATAAGTTATGTTCGATGCTGTCCAATGATTTTTTGAAGCTTTTGTGCAAATTTCCGATTTACATATATATATATATATATATATATATATATATATATATAAAAAAGAAATATAGTCATTGCTATATTTATGGGATAAAGTCTCAATATCAGAGATAGAGCGTGTGTAAATATAAAAGTGAACATAGAAGTTTAGAGGCGACAGTCTGTTTCATGCTATATGCAATCGTCAGGCCACGTTTATTTTTTATTTATATTACGGGTCAGTGGTGCATTGTGGGTAGTCTATTATGGCGGTTTTTTATTTCGTTTTTTATTTTTTTAAATTATTTTGCTCGTTTTTATTTATTTTTATTTTTTTTTTTTTTTTTATTTATTTAGTTTTTTTTTTTAATCGGTGTTTTGTTTTGAGAATTTAATATATATATATATATATATATATATATATATATATATATATATATATATATATATATATATATATGTCCTTGTTCCAGATTAAGATAAGGTTAGTAAATACTGTAAAGCCTATTCGTCTCAATATTTGCAAGAAGTGAAAGAGACATGGATGAATGTTCTAAACGTAGCCTTGGGACAAATTTTAGGTACGTGAAATTCAAAATGTCCGTAAGTTATTCTTCGTTAAAGAAGTATTTCGGAGGCAAGATTTATCACGATTCCTCAAAATATGATTCCTGAATCGTAAGCGAATGGGAGAGAAAATGCTTCTGGGAGGACTGAAATATTTCTTTGGCGGTCATATGATCTTCCATATCTGCCTTAAGTATTTTCATAAAGAAACCGTTTCTTTATCTTTGCGCTATAGGGCTACATGTTTTTCTTCAGTTTCTGCCATGCCTTGTAAGAGCTATATTGCTTGCATTTCTTTCTAATCATTCCAACTGAATGAGAAATATTCTACAGATCCCGACAAAATTCGTGCTCTAGCAATAAATCAATCTGAAAATTTTCCGCCTTTTTTTAGTGATTTTAGAGGCTGAAAATAAAGTATTGGATGGTGGAACCCTTCGATTCTCTCATAGTCAATTAACACAGAAAACGCTGAAAACATTGCAGGAAAATGCGCGCTAAATGGGTAAAAAATGTGAGAATTTATTTTTAAATGATAGATTCTATGCTTGTTTCCACAATAATTAAATATGTAGGAGGTACGTTTGCGGCTCGGATTGAGAAAATAGAGAAACGAGTTCGAATTCCAGTTGAGTTCATTGGTTTCACTGATGTGCTAATTTCCTTTGTTTAAGGTATAAATCAATATCTTTTCTACCTCCCCCAAGCTATGGGTAAATAGTAGGACAACATTAGGTGGCAACGGTCTAGGAGAAGGAAAACTCTGAATTTAAAACTGTATGTAACCCCGGCGAAGGAAAGGATCGTTTGCATTGATTCGATGATCCCAACTACAGTCGACTCCTATTTTGTATTATGGAAATAAAGGAAAAAGAGCAAGAAAAATGTTGAATTCATAGATTTAATATTTTCATCAGTATAATATCAATATGATAGCTCTTGATATCGGTATGATGTTTCTTTTATCAGTACATCGCTGGATATCAGTATGATATTTCTTTTATACGTATATCTCTTGATATCAGTATGATTTCTTTTCTCAGTGTGATATCTCTTGATATCAGTATGATTTCTTTTCTCAGTGTGATATCTCTTGATATCAGTATGATTTCTTTTCTCAGTGTGATATCTCTTTCTCAGTATGATTTCTTTTCGCAGTGTGATATCTCTTGATATCAGTATGATTTCTTTTCTCAGTGTGATATCTCTTGATATCAGTATGATTTCTTTTCGCAGTGTGATATCTCTTGATATCAGTATGATTTCTTTTCTCAGTGTGATATCTCTTGATATCAGTATGATTTCTTTTCTCAGTGTGATATCTCTTGATATCAGTATGATTTCTTTTCTCAGTGTGATATCTCTTGATATCAGTATGATTTCTTTTCTCAGTGTGATATCTCTTGATATCAGTATGATTTTTTTTTCTCAGTGTGATATCTCTTGATATCATTTGATTTTTTTCTCAGTGTGATATCTCTTGATATCAGTATGATTTCTTTTCTCAGTGTGATATCTCTTGATATCAGTATGATTTCTTTTCTCAGTGTGATATCTCTTGATATCAGTATGATTTCTTTTCTCAGTGTGATATCTCTTGATATCAGTATATTTCTTTTTCAGTGTGATATCTCTTGATATCAGTATGATTTCTTTTCGCAGTGTGATATCTCTTGATATCAGTATGATTTCTTTTCTCAGTGTGATATCTCTTGATATCAGATATTTCTTTTGATGTGATATCTCTTGATATCAGTATGATTTCTTTTCTCAGTGTGATATCTCTTGATATCAGTATGATTTCTTTTCTCAGTGTGATATCTCTTGATATCAGTATGATTTCTTTTCTCAGTGTGATA